TTGCCATGAAATTTGCCTACACTGCCTGTCTGGGACCTGCTGCTCTGTCTCTGCTCCTGGTCAAATCAAATAGACCAGCAGGATGGGCAGTTCTTTGTCTGGGTTCACCTCCTGAGCTCCTGGTGAACATCCCTTCCCACCTGGTTGCTGGTGGAGTTCAGATCGCTGCTTGGTGGATGCTGCTAGGTTATCGTTCACTGTAACACCACACCATCGTGTCTGTGCTTTCCCGTGTCTGTCAGTCTCCAGGTGCCCCTCTGCTGCAGTTCTGTCCTCTCCTATTTCTAATGTGCTCTCTCTGCTTTACACTGGCTAATGTTTCTTCATTTGTTTAGACATGTCCTTACGCTGTTCTGCCATCTTGATTCTTTCTGCCTGCTGTATTTTTTAAAGATGTGTGGGGAAGGTAGGAAATGCTGGCCCTGGACATGCTACCCACCCAGCACGGGGTTGCAAATTGCCTGTGGGAAGAAGGACAGGAAGCTATTTGAGTGGGGGCTGCCGAGGGCATGTGTGATAAGTAAAGAGTGAGTTCTAGGGGCTTCTACAGACCAGATGTTGCACTCACAGGTAGGTGAGGGGGCTGAAATGGGGTGGTTTAGAAGAAACCGGAAGTCATTTCTGAGTTGGGCACCTGCGCATGTGGGAGACCATTCCTGCTGCATGGTTTTGCATGTGGAAGCAGTCTCTGTGAGGGCATGCCTGGCTGGGCTAGGCCCCAGTACCACTCTGTGAGTATTGTAACAGGGTATGAGCAGGATCAAGCATCGCTGCAGCACCTACTGGAATAAAAGAGAACCAAACCTGGCGCAAGATTATGTAGGGGATTTGTGGGCTCACTTCTGTGGGACTGTAGCCCTGTGGGTTTATGCCAGAGTCGGGGTGGTGGCTGCCTGAGCCAGGCTAGACCATGGAGCTCACCAACACTTGCAGGATCCAGTCCATGGAGGAGACTGGGCTGGGCCAGGCTAAAGCACCAGTTTGTTGGGACTGAGGAGAGACCATGCCCAGCAGGGCTGTGGCAGCTGTTGGCACACTTGAGATCTGAGGCTGGGAGAGGCCTGGTGTGGGAACTTGGGGAACTCCCCTGATAGGCCACAGATCCCGCTGGTGCTTGTGAGAGGTGGGGCTAGGGGCAGGACAGGCCTGTGGGCTTGGTCTGAGGGCAGGCCAGGCTGCAGGTCCCACTGGTACATATGAGAGCCAGGATAGGGTGTGGTCCACACCTAGCTTAAGTAGGCTACTCCACCAACCAGTGAGAGCTGGAGACTGAAGGTGAGCCATCCAGGCTGGGTTGAAGCAGCAGCTGGCCTGTGCAAGATCTGGTGCTGGAAACAGGCCTGTTAGGGGAACTGTGGGCATGCCCTGCTAGGCCGCAGCTCCCACTGAGCATGAGGGCCAAGGCAGGAGATGGGCTAGGCTGAACAAGGCAGTAGCACCTGCTGAACATTCCTCTCCACATTGGGGACTCTAAGGCATTATCAAATGACCGTCCCCCATCCTCAGGTGCTGATGTAGTTTGACAGCAATGAGGACCTCTCTCCTCTTTCGACCCAATGGACACAGGAGTTAAAAAAGAAGAGAAAAAAAAAAAAGTGATGCATTCACTGCACCCAGCTTCCTCCATACCTTGACCATCCCCACCCTAATCAGATGCCAATATGGGCATGCATCCCTCTCAACAATGTAAACAATGTTTAAAATAAGATGAAATTTTTAAAATATGTGAAAAAAGGCAGAGTGGGAAGGCACCAGGTTCAGCTCTAGGTAAGCCTGTGCCGAGGAGTGGGGTTTGAACAAGGAGCAGGTAACCAGGGGTGCTTGCTTGCCTGTCTCACCGTGCCATGCCTGGCCTCAGCCTTCCTGCCTGCCCAGCTCTCTGTTTCTTCCTTCTGTCCATCCCTCCTCCCACCCTCTTTCCCTCTCTCTTCCTCCTTTCCTTCTGTCCACAGTGTGATACACACACACACAACCACACATACATAGAGAGGAATGGGGAGAGGCAGAGTGGGCAGGGTGTGGGGACGAAGAGGGGGAAAGGGAGAGGGGAAGAGGGAGAGAGAGTCTGAAGCCACTGCCCAGGCACTCCAGCCAAGTCACCCAGGTGCCTGGCAAGCCACCTGCATTCTCCAAGGACAAGCACCTGCAGGGTGGGGACTACATGTCAACACAAGCATGCAAACCCTTAGGGGTCCTGTGATCCTGGACAGGGGAATCCCCACAGTTGACTAGGCCTGTGATGCTGAGCAGGAAAAGGATTAAAACGGCTTTGCTGAAGGACCTCATACAGGCTGTGTAGGATGACCTAACTTTGTCTCTTGGGAAATTAGAAAGGTCAACTGTGGGATTGGGCAATCTGCCCAAAGCTAGGTAGTGGGGGCACCTCAAGGAAGTTTCCAGGGACCCTGCTAATAGTCTGGGAACCTGCCTAGAGCTGAAAGTAATGGGCTGAGGCTCCAAGGACACACTCAAGCACCCCAAAGCAGCTCTAGAGACCCTACTAGAGGTCTGGGAAGTGATTTCTCTGACAAAGTTCCAGAGACTGCACCTCAGTTAGGTCAGGAATTTAGACTGGAAATGCAGAGGCTCTGGTGTGTCTGAAGTGAGCCTATGGTGATTCCCTAAGATCTCTTCACTCTTTGCGGTCCCCTGTCTCCATTTTGGGAGCAAAGCCCTGGGTGTGTGTGTCCTGATGAAATCTGGGGAGGAACTGAGGGTCTGTGGCAGAGGGTGACTCCAAGGGGCCCAGGCGGATTTCCCACTGAGAGGGTTTGTAGCTCAGCTGCCTTCAGTTTCTGGCTGGGCATCGGAGGGGTGAGATTCCTGGGCACCCCCTGCCCCCAGAATTTTCTTGTGGACTTGTAGGGCGAACCTTTTGATGACCCCACTTCTATAATCCTCAGAGGAGTTGAGAAAAGTCCAATTTCTTGTGCTTTTTTGTCTTGGTTTTTGTTGGTTCTTATGTGTAGCTAATTTCCCACAGCCAAGTCCTCTTTTCAGGGTAAGTTTGCTGCAGTAAGCCAAAATACCAGACCTAGTTACCTAGGAGGTCTTTTATTCCAGCAGGATAGGGAAGGGAGCCAAGGCAGAAGGAGGGAGAGGGAAGGGGAACATCTGCCATTTTGGCAGGAGGGGCTGCAAGGGAATGGATGGGCGTGGGGGAAAGAGGATGGCAAAGGAGGATGGGGGAAAGAGGTACCACACCAAGGGGGAGAGACCTCAGTGGAGTGTGCCTGTGCTGTGGCAGGGAGGGCCTGCTGGATGGCATTGTTGGAGCTGCAGGGGGTTGGCAGGTGGGCAGGGATTAGGTGGGAGGGGCAGCTGGGGATTGGTGGGTGGCATTGTCAGGAATGGCACCCTGAAGTTACAACAGATTGGTGGGCAATCCCAGGTGACTCCTGGTGGAAAAATGGCGAGTCTCACTAATCTCCACAGCAATATTGGAGCCACTCCTCACATTTCTCCTTTTTGTTGTATATAAAAGAGAAGTAGCAGTGTTCCCCTCCATGGCTTCTTGGAGCTGAGTTTGGGCTCAGTGTTCTCTAGGCGAGTGTCTCACGGTGGTGGGGGAAGCAGGGAATGGGAAATGTGGAGAGGCTCAGAGCCCCGCAAAAGAAGCTGGTTAATAGTTTGGTTAAAAAAAAAATGGTGTGATCTCATTAATCTTCCGAGTGATATTTGAACCACTCAATATAGTTCTGACTTTAATTTGCTGTGTATCCTTTAGCATGTCCCTCGCAATTTGCACCCCTGGTAGAAAAAGTATTATTAATTTATAATAATATAATTTGATATAATAATAAATAGAGGTGTGCAGTGGCTTGAGCTGTGCAGCTGCTGGAGAGGCTGCTGGCTGGGCTGGGCAGTACCGGCTCAGCTCTGTTGTACTGCCTTGGTGGATGGTGTCATCTTCCCTGGGAGCCTTAGCTGCAGAGAGAGTTGGGGGCCTGGCAGTGCGCAGTGCGTGCCCTTCAGGAGTCACAAGCAGCCCCTCAGAGGCTCTGCCCGGGCTTGTCTCTGTACATCGCAGCCTGTTGCCTCCCTGAAGTGCTCGGGAGCACACGCTGCCACCCTTGTTCCAGGGCGCGTTTGTGGTTTGTGGTGTTGCTGAAGTCAGGCAGCAGGGTTGGGGAGGTGGCTATTGAGAGAGAGAGGGAGAGAAAGTTGGAGAGAGTTACTGCTGTCGTGCCGGATTTTTGAAATCCCCAGATAATCATCAAGTCTGAATCGGTGCTAAGGCATGAAGGTGGTTTATTCAGGTTAGCCTAGGTATCCCAGCCACCTCCCCCAACCCAGCATGGCTGGGCGGGGGAGGGGCAGCCGAGCCGAGGCTGCTAGGATCCACAGGGAGGAGAAAAAGAAGCAGGAGCCAGAACCTAGAGAGAGCCCAAGCCCCCCCAGTTCTTATACATTTCAGGCTATTAATTATACAGTCATGATTTAGCAGGCTTCTATTGGTGGGTTTGAAACAAGCAACTTTCAAAAAGTACAAATCCATGAGGAGTGGTCTGCCTACGCAACCTGCCAGGTGTCGTGCGAGGTGTCACGTAGACTATCAGGCCTGGAGTTCACACAGCTCCCAGCCAAGCCTTTAAGTCAGAATCACAAAAGGCAGAAAATGCCTAGGTTCTTCACTGCCATGGCTTTCAGAGTAAGAGCAACAGGCTGACCAAAGCCATCTCTGGGGAGGTGATGGGAGAACTGTGGCTTTTCCCGCGGCAGAAGCGTGGCAGCAGCACTCCTCAGATGCCAGCAGTCCCTGGTGCTCCATTGGCATGGGGAGCACAGAGAGCCCGGGCGGAGCTGGGGGGCGGAGTTCTCCCCGAGATCCCACACAGGGGACCAGGATAAGTCAGAAGAAAAAAAGAGAAAGAAAAGACCAAATAAGCATGTTGGTGAAGCACACGCTTAAGGAAATATGGCAGGTGGCTACGTGGCAGTAGATCTCCACAGGAAGCGGGGGGCGGGGCGGGATCCTCAGCTGATGAGTCAATCCCCCCCCCCCCTTTGCATAAAAGCGCCCGCGGATTCTGAGATTGTGACAGGACGGAGGGCCTGCAGAGCCAGACTGTTGGAATCCTGTCAGCCCTGGAGTGCGCAGCTGGCCACACTCAGGACACAGGTCGGATGGAGCTGACTCCCTACTTGCCTCACTTGCTGGCCGTTCTGCTGTTGCGGGCCGTGGTTCAGTCGCTAGGGGCCGGTGAGTACTTCGGAGCACCGGCACAGGGCCAGAGTGAGAACGCAGGGACGGGGAGCCTCCTCTCATGGTGGGGCTTTCCAAAGGCTGCTTAACACCCCACCCCGACCCAAGGCTGGCCAAAGGCCCCCTTCCCACCGGAACAGGGAACAGGGGAGCTGGGATTCTTCTGGGACCCACCCCACACCATCCCTGGGGAGTGAGCTTGGGAGCGGAGGCAGGGTGTGGCGCAGCCTGGGAGTGCTGGTTGACACCTAGTCGTCCCTGGTCCACAACTGCTATATCTGAAAAATCTGTTGGGCTTTTCGTTAGTTTAATGTAGAAATAAAAAGCGGGGACTCAGGTACAGAGAAGTTGTATTTGCAAAGTGATCAGCCGAACTTGGAAAGAAGAGGGAAGGGGAAAGCACCTTAAGAGGCTCTTCAGACTGTCAGCCAGTGGACTCTGAATAGGTCTCATTGCGGTTGGGACGGTGAGATTGGCAGCAATCCAGAACTGATAACTGTTTGAGCAGGACCCTTGGAGCGCGCCTCATGTTGGGGATCGGGGATGGATGGGAGGTTGGGTGGGGCTTTTCCCTTTGTTACTCCCCTAACCCCAGATACAGGGCAAAATGATTATAATAGTGTGGAAACAATTATATTACCCACTTTCACCCTGTAGCCCTTGACTCTTTGTACCCTAATCAATGAAGATTATTTAAAAAACAAAAGAAGATATTTACCTAGGTAGCAAAAAGAGGCTCTTCAAAGAAGAGAGACACCTAAGGTTTGAGGAAGGGTCTGGGATTTCAGCATTCCCCATGCCTCTTGTCTGGTAGGAATCTGCACGGAAGTCTTTCCACTGCCTTTTTTTTTTTTTTTAATCCACGGACTTTTAACCAGTGAGGAAATGGCTGGGCCGTTTTTGTGCCACCCATTTGAAGATGTGGTCAAGATTTTAGTAGACTTGGGTGGTCTCATCTCCACCTGCAGTTCAAGCCCCCCAGTGTCTCCACACTTCCCTGTCCCTCTCCTTCCACTTCACTGCCCCCCTTAACCACATCGCTTCCTGAGCTACAGTGGCTCCCTCCCTCACTCCTTGAGTCTTTTTGTATTTTTTATCATTTGATGATATAGTTCCATAGGCTCCTGGGATTTCCCTTAACCCCTCCCCAGGTCCCCCCGACCACACACACACCTAGTTCTTCTATATCATTACTAAAGTATAGTTCTTCATACACAGTCATACGTCCATCCTTGTGGGCATGGACAATGTTAGAGAGTCCAGCATCCTACTGTCAAGATATAGTAAACTGTCCACCTTTTTCTGGAAGTAGAAATGCATACTACATTGTATCCTCACATCTGGATATGTTAGTCTCCATTTCATAGTTACTGTACATCCCCTTAAATGAAAAGTCACAATACAAAATCAACAATAGGAAGAAAAATAGAAATTTACAATGCCATGAAGTTAAATAACATGTTACTAGATATGACCGTCTCCATCACACAGCTATTACATGTCCCTTTAAGTGAGCCTGAGCATGTTTCATGTGTCTGTTTGCCATTATTCTTCCTTCATTTTGCTTTTCTTTTTCTGGGTAACCAGTCTGTGTCTTTGTATTGGATCATGAGATCCACTTCCCTTCAGAGTTCCAGTTCTTAGTATACGTGCTGCCGAAGTGAGCATACCTTCAAAGTTATTACTGATAAATATCAACTTGATCCTGCTACTTTCCCATAAATATTCACATTATTTGTTTTGGATTGCCTTTGTACTTTGAGTGGATGTTGTGCCTTCACTCTGTGTCCTTATGATGACTATTATTCTATTTCTGTGTGTAACATGGCCTTAAGTATCATGTGCAAAGCTGGTGAATGGTGACAGGATATTTCAATTTTTGTTTGTTTTGGAAGGTATTTTGTGTACATTCATAAATGAGAACTTTGCTGAAACAGCATTCTGGGTTGACAGGTTTTTTTAGGTTTATTTTTTTGAAAAATCAGAATTACACTTGGAAGGGAGAGAGAAGGAGGGGGAGGGATGAAGAGAAGGAGGGGGAAGAGCAAGAGAGGAAGCAAGCAAGAGAGAAAAAGAGAGAGAAAGAGTGAGTAAGAGAGAGAGTTTGTCCTCCATTAGTTAGTTCATTCCACAAGTGGTCACATGGCTGGGGCTGTGCTAGTCAAAAGGCAGGAGCTGGGAGCTTCTTCTGGATCTGGTCCATGGGTGTACATGCCCTAGCAGTTGGACCATCTGCTGCTGTCTTCCCAGGCGTACTATCAGGGACCTGTATCAGACAGAAAACAGCCCTCCAGATCAAGGCAGTGAACTAGGTTGCCTTGCAATAATGAAGTGCTGCAGTGCTGGGAACAAAGCAGCCAGAAGCTGGTGGGTATTCTGGGCCTGGTTAATGCCCAATTAGTTTTAAATATTCCAGTGTGCCAGCATAGCTGCTCTTTCCTTCCTCCCTCTCCCCCCCCCCCCGCACCTTTTCTCCCTCCTTTCCTCCTTTCCTTCCTTTCTTGTTTTCTGTTGTTTTGGGGGTTATTTTGCTCTTGTTTTGCTACTTCCTTCAGATATACACTTAGCTCATTTATCTGGTGTCTTTCTTGTTTCCTGATGTACGTCCTCTTCCTGGAGTGTACTGTACTTCCCTTTGGGGTTCCATGTAGGTGCCTGTGAGAGTCTGTCTCTTGTCACTCTTGCCTCTAGAAAGCTTCCCGGCTGACTGATCTGCTCTGATCTCCCACTGCCCCTGACATACCCTGGAACCTTGTTTCTGGAATTCTCATTCTCTGATCCACACCTGTCTTTGCCTTTGCTCTGCATCTTGGAGTCTGCTCTGCCGAATGCTCCCAGGAGAAAGAGGCTGCCAAAGGGTCTTTCCAGAACACCCCTGTGCTGTCAGCTTTCATCCACGTGGTCTCTTTCAGGCTTGCTGTTCAGATGGAGTGTGAACGTGCACAATGTGTATGTTTGGACAAAGCTTCTGTCCGCAGCTTCCTGGTTCCAGGTGATCCTGTGTACCTCATAGAACCAGAATGAATTACAAGGAACACATGAGTGAGGAAGTCAGGAGTCAGGGATGCAGGTGCCATGGCCGGGAGGTGATCTCCCTGATTCCCAACCCTTCATGGGCTCCTTAGTGTCCTAGAACTGGAGGAAGGAATGTCTGTGAGTCGTTTTTCTTGTCATCAGTGTTACTTGCATTTTTTCCTTCACAGATGCTCATTCTCTTTGCCATTACTTCACTGTCAACACCACAGCCCGACCTGGCCAACCAGTGTGTGATGTCCAAGGTCTTATAGATGGGAACATCTTTCTAACCAGTGACTGTGATAAAACCAAATGTATTATTCTCCCTGGGAATGAAACACATATCCCTGACAATGAAGAAAAAGAAATGAAGGAAATATTCAAAGATGTGGCAGACACCCTCATACAACAGCTGTCTGAGATGAACCTGGCAGATTACACAAGCAGGGGTGAGTGGCAAAGACCAGGGTGTTGTGAAACCAGGGACTCAGGATTCTCATGGGCAGAACTGGACTGTGGTCTTCCTTTAGAGGTGTAGAGTGGGGCAGAACCGGGAGGACAGTCAGGGCCAGGAGCAAAGGAGGGAATGGGGGCAGAGGATAGCAGATGTGGACAAGGGCTTGTCCAGACTAACCTTGGCTGATCTCTTCCCCATGAGGACAGATGCCCTCAGCCTGCAGGCAAGGATGTGCTGTGAGCGTGATGCCACTGGCCGCAAAAATGGTTCCTGGGTGTTCAGCATCGGTGGACAGAAATCTGTCCTGCTTGAGTCGCACGACAAAGAATGGAAAAAGCTTCATCCTAGAGCCAGAAGGCTGAAGACATGGGAGAGTGACAGGGACACTGTGGAATTTTTCTGCAAAGTGTCAATGGGAGATTGTCAGAGCTGGCTTGAGAACTTCTTGCTGAACAGGAAGGAAATGCTGGAGACCACAGGTAAGAGCAAGAGCTTTGGGAACAATTGTGTGTACAAGTGTGTGTATGTGTGCACACGTGTGTGATATGAATGTGGCTGCTGTGTGCATGTGTGGGTAGGAGTATATGTGTGAGTGTGGATTCTGTGTATGTGTGTGTGTGTGTGTGTGTGTGTGTGTGTGTTATGAGTCTGGGTTTTATGTGCATGACTGGGTGTGAGTGTGCATGTGTGAGTGTGTTGTGCTTGTGTGTGCATATGTGAATGTGTGTCTGAGAGTGATCCGGCCTGGAGCTTTCTCCCCAGAACAACAGCAGAGTCCAGCCCAGTGTCCTCCCTGCATCTCCTCCCACCTCTGCTTTTCCTCTGCATTGTCTCTTCCTCAGGGCATGGATTTTACTCCACTCTCCCTGCCTCTTCTCCAGCCTTCTAGCTGAGGCAGTCCTTGTGTCTAGACCTCCTTCCCTGTGCTCTCTTCCTAGAATCACGCTCTTCCTGTTTTGCCTGCACTCTGTCTTGGATCCTGCAGAACCAATCTAGACTGCTGTGACCCATCTCACCCACCACCTGGTCCCTCTTCTCGTCTTGGACAGCGAGAGTATCATCTATCTGGACAACCTGGCTCCCCTATCTGGCAGATCGTTCCCTGGGGTAGGACATATCCTCCCTCCCTGCTACCTGAGAGCCTGTCACAGTGACCAGCATGGAATGGGAGGCAGTTGTATGCCTGGCCACATTGCCCGACAGCAGAAAGTGGAAGCTTTCTGGATTCAGGAATCTGTATATTGGCCATAACTGTTTTGCTTGCGTTTCAGCACCACCGGCCATGACCCTAGAAGCATCACGCTCTAAAGTGACAGTCCTCAGGCCCAGGCTCTCGACCCTCCTGCTCCTCATTGGCTTAGTTCTGCTTTGGCCTGTAAGTGGACCCTTGAAGCACAACTGGTATTGAGGGCAGCATTGTGAGGGAAGTGGGAGGCAGATGGGTGAGGTAGGAGAATGGGAAAGTGAATTCCCCAAGTCCATTCCCACCCTCTGGGCTGTCCCTTTTTATACTGGCCAGGAGCCAAGGAGAATGAGACCTTGTGGGACTCAGTAGGAAGTTTATCCCTGCCCACTGACTTCTCAGTATCTCCCCCAGGGCTCTTAGCATAATTAGTAAATACGCCCTGAGCACATGGTCTTGCAGGCCACAGTCCAACTGTCTACTATCTCAGATCCTTATCAGTTTATCTTCTGCTTGTTTCTGCCTTCATTCCTTAGGTGTTGACTCTAGCTTGATCCACACAGATAATGTAAGTTACAGCATGGAGTTTGGAAGAGCCTGAGTGATATGGGATAAAGATGAAGGCTAACACACGAGATTCTTCTTGAAAGCCACGTTTGCACAGATCATAGAGATTGTGGGACACTGCTGAGTCATCTCCACGCAACCAGACAACACAGCGTGTGCAGAACTTGGGGTGGGGGCAGACTTTCTTTCTTGGCTGGCTTGCTTTCTTTCCCTTGTTTCATTCCACCTTTCTTTGCAAATTTATGTACTTGAATATTAAGCAGTGAGAGAGGTGAGAGAGAGGGAAGAGAGAAGAGGAGATGAGAAAGAAGCAGAGAAACAGAGAGCTCTTTCATCTGCTGATTCAGTGGATGCAACACCTGCATCTGGACCAGACCCACACCAGCAGTAGGAACTCCATTGGAGTCTACCATGTAGGTGGCGCCTACTTGAGCCTTCCTCCACTACCTTCCCAGTTGTGGAGCACCTAGACTTGAACTTGCACTCACACATGTGATGGCAATGCAATAAGCAGTGGCTTAACCCACTGCACCACAAAGCCAGCCCCAAGAAAGCAATTTTCCTTTGACGTGCTAGGATCAGGATTAATACAGAATTATTCAGAAGTATTAGATAATGTATTATAAGAGAATAATCAGATAGCTAGTGAGGAAGATTCAGAGATTGCTTATAGAGAGATCTGTTAGTAAATGAAGCTGCTGCAGGTGAATATTTATATACTGATTTATGTATTTATATGATAAAGTAATTATATAACTTTTTAACTTAATTTATTCTTTTTAGAAAGACAGATTGACAGAGAGTACGATCTTCCATCTGCTGGTGAAGAACCTAGGTGTTTTCTGCTTTTGTGATTTCTGCCTTACTTGCTTGGGTGGGTACTGAATGAATGCCAGGCCTGGCAGTCTACATGAAACCAGCAGGACATTCCGCATTTCTGGGTTGGGGGGAGGTAGCAGGGAGACCTAGGTTAACCTGAATAAACTGTTCTTCATGAGTTAGCATTGACTTCTGACTCGATGTTTTTCTGGGGATCTCAAAATCCGGTACAATACTGGCTACTCCCCAAATAGCCATTGGCCAGAGCTGAGCTGATCTGAAACAAGGATCCAGGAACCTCAGCATCTCCCATTTGAGTGTAGGGTTCCAAAGTCTTGGGTCATCCTCCACTGCTTTCCCAGGTAATCAGCAGGGACCTGGAAGGGAAGTAGAGTGGATGGGACACAAACTACCATCAATAGCAAATGCTAGAGTTTGCAGGCAGATGGTTAGTCAATTAAGCTATTGTACTCTCCCATCTCAGCAATATTTAAGATATATCATCTGCTCAGTAAAACATGTTTACAAAAATGTTTGTGGTGTGTATAGTAAATTCAATATCCTATGAGTAATGGAGGTCATGTTTTTGAACAACACTTGATTATAAGAGAAATTTTGTTATACATAAAATGAGGACAGGGTCTGGGCTGTGGCAGATAGGACTTAACCCCAGCACCCACTGGTGCTCATGAGAACGAGGGTGGGGATAGAATAAGTTGGGATATGTCTCAACACACACTGAACCACGCAAGTGCTGTGTCTGTATTGGACCAGGTATGGCTGGGCTAAAGCACCCAACAACAAGAACAGCAATGGGTGTGGTCCAGTTGGGCAAGGCCACTGTACCTGCCAGGACAAGAGGAGGACTAAGTCAGGCTGGGCCACAGACCTACCAGTGTGCATGAGATCTCCCGCTGGAGGAGACCTGATAGAAGGGTTTGGGGAACTGCTTTTTCAGGATGCAGTGCAAAACCTGAGTAAGTGTAGATTTGTTGGGCTTTGCTACAGCATCAATTGGCAAGTACTGGGCCTGGAAGCAAATCTTGTCAAGCTAGACTGCAGAAGTACCTGGAGAGTGCAAGATGAAGGACTGGGAATGGGTCAAGTAGGAAAACTGTGGACACCTCTCTGATGTGCTGCAACTCCCACTCGTGAGCATGAGCACCTGGAGGTCGACCTTGCTAGACAGGCAGTGACAGCAGTTGGCATGAGTGTGGGCTGGATAGTGAGGCCAGTTGGGTTGAGTTAGGTTTTAAATTCATTTGACATTTATGACAGCTGAATGGGATGTGGGGTAGCCTGGACCAATCTGTTGCACATACTGGCAAGCACAGGTGATGGCTCCCCAGGGCACTGGAGGCTAGGGGCGGGTCTGCCCCGCCCCCACAAGAGGAGGGGCCACAGGAGCCGGTTACGTCACCTACCTGGCGGGATTCCAGTTGACCAATGGCACACCTGAATGGACATTCCTTGCATAGTTGGGACATGGACAGCCCCTTTGCCCTCCCACATGTGTAGATGGGTATAAAACTCCCAGACACGTATCTCAGACGCCCTTTTCGCTTCCCCCTTTCTTCCCCTCTGCGCGAATGGGGCCCAGGAGCGGATTTTCCAATAAAGCTTCCATCTCAACTCTGAACAACTTGTCGATATTATTTCACCAAGCAGGCGGTCGGTCGGTGGACATTATCTAACATTTGGTGCCGAACCCGGGAAGGGATGCGTGGGCTCCCTAAACTGGTTGAGCTCCCCCCTTCCTCTCTCCACCTCTAAGCCGCCAGCCCCAAGGCCTTTGCCGGCTGCGAAGCGACAGACGTGAGGTAAGCCCCTCCGCCCTGCTCCTCCTGTCCTGAAAAGTATTCCCTAACCTCCTGCAGACCCCCCAAATCGTGTACACGTGGTCTGCCTGTCCTGAGCCCTCAGCGAGACGGGGGACGCCCTGGTCGTTGACCGGCTCCCACCAATCCAGGGCCCTCAGAGGGGCGTGAGACGTCCCCCCTACTGACTGGCCCTCCTTAACGGGAACCAGGTTCCCCTCTAGTCTGAATTTCAAAGCGGGGACGCCTTCTTTGTGTTTAGATTAGCCGCGAGATACTTTATCGGGACAGGACGGGCAACAAAATGTCCTGAGCCCATGGCCCCCAACCCCCTTAAGCTGTTTATTGGCCAATTTTAAAACCATGGGTCTGGGCCAGGACTTACGCAGAAAACGCCTTGTCCATTTTTCAACCGTGGCCTGGCCACAGTACGTGTTGGAAAAGGCTCCAAATGGCCAGCGGAAGGCACGTTTGATTTTCAGATCCTCACGGAATTGGGTAATTTCTGTCGTCGCGAGGGTAAATGGTCTTAAGTTTGTTATGTGGAAGCTTTTTGGAAACTCCGTTCCTGCCCTTCCCTATGTTCCTCCTGTTCCACGACTCAGATTCTCCTGGCCAAGGCTAAGCTCTCCCACTCTCCTAAGGATCTCTTAGACTTTTCACCTAACCATTACCTTTTCCGAGCCACCAGAACTTTTAGGACTCAACCCAGCCCCCACTTCTTCCCCACCTCCTTCTCTGCCAGCCTCTTTACCTGCACTTTCGTCTCTCTCGGAGCCTTTGGCCCATCCACCTTGTACGTTACTCCTCCAGTCCCTGTGCTATGTTCCCCAAGGTCACCTCCTCTTTGGTCACCTCTTCTATGCTCTCAGTCCTTCTGTCATGTTTCCAGACTCCTTCACTTCCTGAGTAGCCACTGGATTCCAGTGTCACTTTTGCTTCACCTTCTGTTTCTTTGCTATGTTCCCACCCCTCCCTTATTCTATCTACTCCCATATCTTGCCCCACCTAGCTCCACCTAACCCCATCATTCTCTTTGTTCCTCCTTTTTCCCTCTGTGTGGACATCCTTGCTGCACAGAAGGTCCCTATCCTTGCCCAAGGACCTCTCTGACCTCTACCTTACATTTCCCCCAGTTTGCTCTCCCCCACTCAGAACCTTCCTCCTTCGGATCCTTCACTTCCTGCGCAGGTACCATGTTCCCAAGCCCCCCTCCACTTCCTGCTCTGACGCCATCTTCCCAGCTCCCCTCCCCCTCCTCCATGTGGCAGGATCCCATCCACCATCTTGCCTTTCTCCTCCACCTGATGGGACCCTGTCCACCATCTTGCCTTCCTCCATGTGGCAGGATCCCATCCACCATCTTGCCTTTCTCCTCCACCTGATGGGACCCTGTCCACCATCTTGCCTTCCTTCATGTGGCAGGACCCTATCTGCCATCTTGCCTTTCTCCATTCTCACCCTCAACCTAACCTGCTCTCCCTCTTTGATTCTTCTGACTTAACCCCAATAATGCCTGATTCCCTGCTGCTGCTGCAGCAACTGCTTTTAACTCTTTTTTTTTCCTTTCGTCATCCCCACCCCCACCCCTTATGGGTGGGATAAGAAGATAAGCTAATTAACATCTACCAAAAGAACAAAACTGTAATTTGCTAAGTTTTTCTGTAACTTAACATTTGTATATCAAAATAATCCAGTATAGAGTTGCTCTAATCCACTGCTAAGTTATTCCAAGCCATGAGGTAAACCCATGTGTTCTTACCAATTGTTTTACAGAGTATTTCCAGGTTAAAACATGTCGTAGAAGGAATGGGAAGTCATGAAAGTTTTGAGAGGAATACATCTTGTATGGTTTATGTGCAATGTAATTTATCATTGTCCTTTAAAATTGCCTATAGCATTTTTCTAAATATTTATCACTGATATTATTGCTTTTTCTAATGTGCAAATTAAGCTAATTGTAAACCTGTGCTTGTTTCAAATTTGTAGCCGACATCAGACCTTTGGCAAATGCTTTCTAGAACTTCTATTTGAGAGTTTTTACTTGATGGTAATTAATCTGATGCTTCCAACTACTTTCTTCATCTCTCTCTCTCTCTCTCTCTCTGACACTGAGGGACTCAGGCTGCACAGTTTGATTTCCAGACCCTTTATAGGGATGGCTAACTTGTCAGACCAAGCAGCCTAATTATCTTCTCGTAGGCATTACCCTAAAACTATCAGGACTATGCCTGTAACTACAGATTCCTAGATCAGCCCATTAAGGCATTCAGGGATAGAATTGAGCATCCCTTTGGCTGACATCCCGTGGTTGCCTCTGTGGCCCACTTTAACCAGGGCCCAGAGGAAGAGTAGTGAGCTAGGCATCAGGAGGCTCATTAATGCGGCTTTATACAGTAACCTGTTCTCTAGGAGACCCAGTAAGGCTAGTCTACCCTCAAGTAGCACCTGCTTGTGATATGGGAAGCCAGAATATTGGGCAGCCAGCTGCAGTGATAGAAGTGGCTTTCAAAGAGTCTTGTTAGCTCTGCCAAGAGCCAGGCCACTAGAAATGGGACTGCCCTGGGGGTCAAAGTATTCCTGGGTCAGAACCATGGTGGGCCACAAGCTAGAAAGCCCTTCACTCTGCCCAGCTCCCAAAGCATCCGTCGCTATGGAGGGATGGCCTGGGGTCAGCAACATCACAGGTAAAGCTGTATATTCTGTCCAGAGACACCATCTGTTCTATACCAGCCTCTCTTTCAGGCCGGCTCTCCTCTCTGTCCAGCCAGGTAATGGGAGTCAATGGGATGTCTCCACAGTTTCACACTTCCTTTATGATGTCTCTTCCAGTACTCCATGTGAAGAGATGGATGGTCCTGACCGTACCTGAAACTCCAGAGTTCATGTATGTAAGACCTTAGAAACGGTTTTTACTAGATAGCACTGTAACCTTGAAGGCCACTGCCTACTGGAGCCCTGGCCTTACCATAGGCCCTGACTTAGCTCCTGCTAGCAGCCAGAGTCCCCATGAGCAGAGGGAGGGAAAGAATACAAGATTAGAAGCAGGCCAGACTATACATCCTGTCTTGTTTCTCAAGGTCTCACTAGATAATCTTAACCAGCTGTCATACATGTTCCTGCCTAAGCCTCCCCACTAATTCCATACAACATAAACCCGCGATATCGGGGCTGAGTAAAAGTGTTCCCAGTTCTTTGCCTAAGTCAAATGGACTCTCCATCCAAGAATGGCCAGAATGTGGAATCTGCACAGAAGGTCAACACCTGCCGTGATGATCCATGCATCACCATAGAA